GCTCAGTAATGAATGCAATCAATAATGCATGTATTGACAGAAAGACAAAGGTGGATGCACCTGTGGTTAAATTTGGAATGGATGTTTACAAGCTGGAGAGCTTTCCTTTCAAAGTTTCCTAAGGTCTTTATAATAAATAAGGAAATGTGGATTTCTCAGTCAAACAAAATAATTTTGAATCATTATCAGTTAGTATTTTTCCTTTTAAGCGCAGGTAATCACATTTGTGGGAGCCTCTTAGCCATATAGATTCTCAGATTTCACCACTGGCTCAGATACAGAAATATTAAACTTTGCCAAATCACAAAAGACCTAAGTATGACAGAATAAGGCAGGAGAATATTGATTTGCCTTAGGCATTTCATTTAAACACCTACAGTAGGCAATACTTAGAGCATTTGAAGATTTCAAATGTTGTCATCTAAAATACAGTATATTTTGCCTTTATCATGAGAAAGTAAGAATTCTCTTTTTGTGGGTTTTTTGTTTTATTTTGTTTTGGTTTTGGGAAGTTTTTGTTTTATATTTTTTTTTTTTGTGGAAGGGAAGGGCTACACGTGAGAGGTCTGTGTGCTGCTGTACTTTTTTTTTTTTCAAAATAATCTTCTCAATGAAATCTTATTATGACTATAGTTTATGTTTAATGATCATACATTTTTTGTCTCATTGGTCGCCATAATTTCTCTGATATTTAATACTGAGATCTTTCCTCCCCATTTTGTTCCCTAGCCCAGTGGACTAGAACTAGGAGCAATTTTTTTCTGATTATAAAAAAACCACAAATCTTTCTCATAGTGTTTCATCCACGGATTGCTTCTATAATCACTGCTCTCAAAACTGATTAGCCTATCAAATATTTTAAAAGGATATTTCCTAGTCTATTTTATGTCTTAGTGTTAACATAGCTTTTGAATTTCCTAGTGTTTGTTAATTGTGTCCCCGTTTCTGAGTTAAACTAGTTAAAAAATATGTAGAATGTTAAAAAAAAAATTCAAAAATTTCAAACACCCTATAACATTTAAGATATTTTTACAGAAATGTTTAAAGATTACTTGGAACTAAATTGAAAGTGGAATTCTAGATTGATTTTAGGAAGGAAGCATTGAATTCTTTCAAAATCTGAACTGTATCTTGAAATTGTTAACCTCCTAGATCTACGAACTCAACTCATGTTCAGGTGTTAGTTTCCCAAAACTTAACTCTCAATTGGAAAGGGTTATTATTTGTTGTATTGATACAGTGTCTGTTTTTTTAAAGATGAGACCACTGTCATTGTCTTTTTACTATTCAAGAAAATGTGAGGGCACAGTGAAAGAACATCAGAAGCTGCCTATGAAGAAATGTGCAGTAATTTCTTCACTATGTGTTGTAAAAGAAGATACTAAACCAAAACTTTAACTGGAAGAAATCCCACAGTCTGTATTCAGACAGAAAACCTGAGCCAAAATTTAACTATTTACCGTTGCTGTTTTTCAAAACACTGCCTTTTTTGTAATTACTGTTGCCTTTTTAGGCACTAATTCCAGACAGTAATTGCTATTGCCTTTTTTGCTTCTGTGTGAAGTAAAATATAGGTAAAAAAAAAAAAGGAAAAAAAAAGAGCAGATATGTGCAAAGGTCAGAGCTAACCAGAGTACTTGAGAGAATAGGCTGAGTCCAATATTTATTGTCATGACAGCATCAAGAAATATAAAACTATTATTGATGAACAGGCATGCTGAACTGAATTCTGGAGTGACCAATAGGAACTTAAATATACAATTCATTCCCTGTTGTAAATATTGTTATTATTATTATGGGAAAGTCAAGCACACTATTACTGTGGTATAGCCAAAATCTAAACCAAATTTAATAGGCAACTAATTTTTATAATTTTTAATACCTTTTATTTGGTGTTTCAATTGTACCAGCTATCTAAATTTTGTTTATTTACTCTTTTGCAAAGACCTGGCAGTAAATATACTGGTCAGTGGTGCCAGTGGTCACACACAATTTTTTTTTTTATTCAAAAAGAAAAAAAGAAAAATTATTGAAGTAAACAAAAATTCATATGGAAGTGAAATCTAAAAATCCTAGGACTATTTGCAGGACTAAATATTTTATTTGGTAGAAAATGCAGGATCAAGTACCAAAATATTGCTCTTGTTTCTCTTTCTCTCAAAATACTTATTTAAAGAAGCACTTTAACTTCCCCATGGAAATAAACTGTTATAGACTCAACAGTGAGAAGTTTATTAAAGACATGCTGCACAAGACACAGAAAACTAAGCTTGTTTCTTTTAGGAAAATGTAGAGGCTTTTCTCTTTAAGGGAAGTGGCTTCTTTCTATGGAAAACATGTTTCAGTTTAGACTATGCTAACAGTATTTGAAATGGCCTTCAGGCATTTTAGACTTCAGTAGTGCCACAAAGGTTTGTCTAATTTAACAAACATGTAAATCTTAACTTACCACTGCGTCTGACAATTAAATGGAATTTTCTGTTTACGCTGATTTGAGGTTTATCTAGTATTGGATGACATTCTGGGAGAAAGCAGGGAAGAGAGGATAAAATGCCCAAGTCCTCTTTACAGTATTGTTTGCTCTGCAGAACTTCAGCAGTGTCTGCCCCCTGAACTGCTGCATGTGTCCCAACCTGAGTAATGTTGTCACTGCCTGCACTCAGGAATTAGATAGGCTGGAAGTGCAGTGAGAGCAATATGTATGCTCATATTATTTCTCAACTAATGATTAAGCTCTGATAGGAGAAGACAATTACCTTTTGGTACTGTTGCAAGTAGGTGTGGTGAGAAATATTGTCTATATTTATAGAGTCTGAGTATATTTGTATTTGGCTCTTGCACAGAACCACGAAGACAGATCATGCTTGCATGAGTTTTCATGCTTTTATATTTTTCCTCCTGTCATGAATTAGAAGCAAATTTGTGGTTGCTCAGCAGAGCTCAGCTGCTGGCATCTCAGTAGGACACTATGGCTCCATCCTGTCTTGTCCCAGGCTGCAGACCTGGCAGACAAGGCAAATAAAGAGATCACACAGCAAGACGGTTGCATATGTGATACCATGTCAGAGCTTCCTAACTCCCAATATATATTTCTAGATTATTTAAAACTGGAAATATTAGAATAATTTTTCAGTATGACATGGACAGGGAGGAATAGAGAGAGGGAGCAAACACAAGAGAGCAAGCCAGCTGTAGCAGTTCTGGGAAGGCTCTCTAGCAAATTATGGATTTAGTGTTTGAATAGAATAGAATGGGAAGTGGCCATTAGAAAATATGCTGAAATACATGGAATAAACAGGTGTACCCAGTAAAAGATTACGTATTGAAATGCTGCTGACACAGGAAAGGCAAAAAGGGAAAGGGGATTAGGTGGGAATTACATTAATAACAACCTGTAGAAGCTAATTGAGATGATACAGGAATAATAACTGAGGAGAAGCCATAACAGAAGCACCACAGTGCCACGGTAGTTTATTAGCATATGGGAAAGAATTTGCCTGAGCTATTAACTTCCACTTGTAGTAAATTCCAAGGGCAGTGAATTCTCAATTAATTTTTCTATAAAGCCTTAGAGATGCTTCAGGGCTTGTCCAGATCATTAGGATTGCTTTACAGGCCCATAACAGAAAGATTATGAAGAAGACAATTTTCCAAGTAATCCAAGACAAATTCAGTGCCAGATCAGGTGAGAGCTGAATATTAATTGTTTCAAAGTACCAAAAGAACCTGGTGTTTTCTTTTTCTCAACTCAGAAGCAGGTCCAATATCATAACTGCTTTAAAAACTCACTTTTTTCTGTTCAGACCATTCAATTTTCTGACCAGTAATTTCACCTATGAGCCCTGACTTGGACAGCAATCTTAGTGGATGTTCAAATGGATGCAAAGGATGTTTTCTCTCTCCATGCAGAATTACACTTTGCTCAAGATAACAGACAACAGAATGTTTAAGTATCTTGTTATATGTGTAATAAGTCAAGCAAATGTTCACCACTGACTGTTTCTAGGCTATGTATGCCCCTGTTTTGTCTGCTATGTTACAAAGTGACAGAACAATTATTGCTTAGAGTAGCCCTGGGACACCTAATGTGCCAGAGCTAATGACAAAAACACATGATTGAGAGTTGTAGGAATACTTACTCCGTGTTATTAGCTTAGGTTATGGTCTAGAGGAAAGGCTACAGAAGAATTTAGAGTTTGTATGAGATGACCTTTTAAAAGCAGTGGCTTTTGATACATATGGAGAGTATTCCCAGTTTCCTAATACTTTGTCTTTTATTTAAGACAAAAGCATGACTTTCACACGGTTCTAGGGTACCCTACAAATGCTCCAGGCTCAATGGTTTCAGTACTTCTCTTGTCTATGGATGATCATTTTAGTTATAAATAATGTTCATATCATCTCGATCACTGTCTTGATCTTTTCACATTTTGCAAGACTGTATTGTGAATGGATTTTCCCTTCCTCAACCCTTAGAAAAGACATAATGATCTCTATTGGTATTTTTCTGGTGAAGAAAATGGAACTGAACATTGGTGTTGGCATAGTAAGAGCTTGTATCACATTCTTTTATGGAAGGAAGGGAAGGGAAGATTTTCTTTAACTTCAGGAAGCTTTCTAAGCTTTAACTGCTCATGGTATTTACACAAATCCTCACAGACTGCAAAGTTCAAGTAGCCTACACCCAACTCCTGGTTTCAAAGGCTGCTGAAATTTAGGATAATCTGCCTCAGTCCCACACCTCCACTCCTTGCTCACAACAGCACCTTCTTATTTCAAACAGCAAAACAGAGAAAAAAGTGTTTATAACTTCTTTCAGTAGATATTGCTGCTAGTTAGGGACATGGCTGCTTGCCTTGGGGTTTTTTGTACAATGGAGTAAAACTGAATTTGCTTTCTATCTGCAACAAAAACAAAGTAACCTCCATAGAGGTGTGGTTCTCCTTCCCGCTGTGCATTGGACAAGTGGATACACAGGGCCTCCTACTCCTGCCTTCTCTCCTTTCTCTGGTACTCCTGGAGAAGAGTGGTCTGCAGCTCAAATCAAAGCTGCAGCTGCAGCCTGACTTGGGAAGATTTCCTGTAAGTACAGAAAAATACTACTAGGAGCTAAAACTTGAGTAGAAAAGTAAGGTAACTGAGCATATGATGGGCCGATGCGAAGTTAGAATTTTTCAAGGGAACAGACTTTCAGTTTTGCAAATTATAAGCTGATATAAAAGCATCAGCTCCTTTCAATTTATATAGAGATATAGGTATCAGTAATGATCGAAGTTGTTGGGGATTTTACACTCAAATTTGCCAAATTGTTCATAATTACACTCCTTTTAACTTCTCTGTCATTGCAATATTTCATTACCAGTTGAATTTAGGCAAGGCTAAGTGAACCACTGCAGAAAACTGAATAATTGTTTCTAAGCTTTTTGAGCTCACATAAAACCAGGTTGAAATTCTGAATATTAATTCTCATTCTGAAAGTTGAGGGGTTTTTTTTTAATTAGTAAAGTGGCAGAAAAATCTCCCATATTGAGTTTTTTTTTCTCTAGCTTTTTGTTGTTCAATCAAAATTAAATGCACAATACTTATTGAAGTTGAAGCTTATTATGTTATTTTATGGTAAATAGTTTCTTGTGTAGCAGAAAAATATTATACATGTACCACATTTTAATATATTTGCACTGCTTTTACTACTAATAAAAATTATATTCAAACATTTCTAATTGCAGTGTACTAAAAGAAATGTAATCTGCCCTTTTCTTCTCCACTGTACCTATTTAAAAACGGAAATTTTGACTTCAAACTCTTTTCTGTAACCCAATATGAGTATGTAGGGAATTAATTAATGAAAGCACCATTTTCATTTTATGCATGAAAATAATCTATCATTTGCCTTTGTGCTCCACATCAATTCAAAGAGTCCTAGTTTTCTTTTTGATATTATGAAGCATGAATGTTATCACAATGATTTTTAGTACTATTCATTACTGGGTTTAGATCTTGCTATCCTTATTTACATCCTACCTTTTCTACAATTTTTTAGACTATGTGATTATACATCCATGGAGAAAGAGACATGAGTTGAGAAGAAAAAGATCATTCCTTCAGCAATCTACTTGCACGCAACCCCTGCAGCTGCTGTTGGAAACAGACATTTATTCCATGAAAATGTGGACTTTTCAATCATGGTACTACTCTAAAAACAGGCTTGCTTGTCTGCTCTGCAGATCTTAAGTTTAGAGGCCTCTTTAATTTTAAAAGCAGAAGAGATTTTGACCAAAACCTCTCAGTAAGGAAGGTTAATATTTTGAGTGGAAAATGAGATGAAACACTTTTGTTTTATTGCTGGTAAAATGAGCTCACATAACTCTCTTCTTGGCAATGCCTGTAAAAGGAAGGATACTGAATTGTCAGTGAGTTGTGACTTGTTCTGTGGCTTTGTAAACAACAGAGATTAGAAACTTATGAATACAGTACTAAGGAAAAACAGAAATCCAAATTGTAGTCAGGCACTTAAATTGCCATAAGTTTTGTGGGTGGTCCTTTACAGACTTAAGGTTTTTTTGGTATATACCAACATATATCTTTGCCTGTCTTTTTTTATGTATGTTTATACATATGTAAACATACAGATGAGCATGCATACATCTGCAGAAATCAGTGAGCTGACCTAAAAAATGGTATAAATAATAACAGCACTTTGTTAGACACGGACTACTGAAACTTTTATAGTCCCATGTTGACCACACAATTGAAGAATGTTGAGACACTGCATGAGAACTTACGAAATGTTATTTATTATCACCACAACACAAGTTCATTTATGACATTACAATGCACTGAGGGTTGCTAAATAGTTGGTGGGCATTTTCAAGAAAAAAATGAATGAGTAGAAAATACTGACTAGATGAAGTTGCACTTTGATTTCAAATCTCGGTTTACACTTAGGATATACTTTAATAGTCTAAACTTGTCATGCAGCCATGGAAGTGCTAAAAGCTTTCAAAAATAAACATATCCAGATGACGGAAGCCACTTTATCCTCAGGGTAATGGATCTCTGTATTAAATACAGTAACATATGTATAGTAAAACATATGGAATATGATATTTGCAAAATCATTTACACAGCACTGTGTACAGGTGTGCAAGGAAGATATAAATACCTCAGTCATGATAGATAAACTGTTACAGAATCAGGGCTGCAGTTATTGCCTGTGCTGTGGGTCTGTAACTGTAAACACACTGGGGAAGGAGGATATTCACATCAGAACTAATTGTAATCTTGCCAAAATTGTTCTTTGGGAATTCAGATTTAATTGCTTTCTTGAACTCTTGTATAAGGAGTTGTTCTCACCTTGTTCCCTGTGTATTGCTGCTGTTAATTATTAATGGGAGTCCTGCACCCAGAGTGTGGGGACAGTGTCAGTTCACCTGACTTTGGGCATCCTTTGCTCCTACTGCAAGCACCATTTATTTGGATACAGATTCTTGACTTCTTGCTGGATATGTGCTCACTACTTATCCACCCAAAGTCCTCCAAAAAGAATTCTGAGAGATTATAATTGTTCACTCTTTGCATTGCTATGACCTCACCATCTTTATGTTTGAACTGCTGTTCTCCCGTGTAAAGTGGCTACATAAAAATAGCACTGCCTAACTCAGCTGTGCTCCCTCTAGGTATTTGGAGTTGCTGACCAATATAAAGGTATTTTTAGTGTTAGTCCTTTTAGCTCTGCAGAATGAGCACAGGTATGTCTGTGATCTGAGAGAATGTATCTATTCCATAGATGCACTGAAAATGTTGCAGATGTTTTTCAATTAAGTAATTTCCATCCCAACTAAAGCAAAAATAAAAGTCTTTGGTCAAGAATGTATGATGGAACTAAAGGCCAATGTAATATACTGTACCAGTGTTAAAATTGCACTTAGCATCTCTCTCCCCACTGTATGATTGCTTACAGCTTGATGACTCAAATAATTTTTTATTACTTTTGGGTTTATTATTGGGAATATTATTCTTTGGGGTGAGATCTTTGTTTCTACTGTCTGCAAATCAAAAGACCCACAAAGGAACCTTCCAAATCTGCCAGTAATCCTGGCTGAATTACAAATGAGGGCCTTTGTCAGTCTTTTGGTCACCCTCTATTTGGAAAGCATTCCCCTCTGAGCAGCTGGACACTCTCCATTTGGCATATCCATTTTGCAGTAAAAATTGTACTTTAGGATATTTGGTTATGCCATCAAAGAAAATTCTATCTTTATTTCTCTGAAGAATCTGACCCAAAGATGCTACACTTTGATACAGTCATCATCATGTCACTCAGATAACATTTAATAATGTCTGGAGAGAAGCAACCTGCTAAGAGAAGTAAATTGCAATGATCTGACTTGCTCAAATGAAAGGAAGCTTCAGAAGTAGTTTGATGGTTAATTCGAAGTTTTCAGTTGCAAAATCCACATTTGTTCAGATCATCTTAACTCGCTGACCTTGCCAGTACTATAAGGGTATGTTTTTCTGTGAGCTATTTTTGAATAACCACTCTAGTGAATTGAGGACATGATTTTTAATAGCGGACTTACTGCTATACTTGTCATTTCTCTTTTTTTCAAAGGAGTCTTTTAAAAAAAAACAGCCAGATATTGTGGAAAATAGTAAATGTAAGATCCAGAACACTCTGTTTTTCTGTCCTTGCTTTGAGAGTAAACAGAATACATTTCAATTTTTTCTCATGTACTGGATCTCTATGGTCATGGAGGCTGCAGGAATGTCAAATTATCAAATATGGTGGAAGAGTGTGAACAAGCTCAGTTAACAATTTTCTGTACATTTGAGACTCCATTTTCTCTACAATATCTACAGCATAATTAAAACAAAGGCTTTTTTTTTTGTTTGTTTGTTTGGAAAATAATGAAAAAAATATTTTCTTCCCCATAGGTCTGGATGAGGATCTATGTCTTCTGAATTGTGGGTGAATGGTTCACAGAACTACCTCCCAAGGCATATACTGGAAACCTTGTTGCACTGGAAGCCTTAAAAGTGCCTATATATTTCTAGGCATGTGCAGGACCTGTGCCAAGAAAATCTATTGCAAAGGCAATGATTAGACACATATCTACAGATTGGTGTGAATTTTTAATTAATACCTTAGCACTTCCATCAGATGTTTTATAGGATCCTCTCTGGAAATTCTTACTACTCAAGAACAGTGTGTACCTTGAGATTTAAAGAGGAAGTGCACAAAAAGTCATATGTTTGACATTGCCTTGCACCCTGATATTGCTGAAAATAACTCAAGTTTTGACAATCACAGCTGATAATACAGTAGAGCAGAAAAAAATTATATGTGGTATAAAAAGAAAGAAAACTAGAGGTGCTAGAATAAATAGAATCAAGCTTTGAGATAAGATGAAGAGTGAAAAAAATGTGAAAGAGATAAATTTAGAAACCTGACAGGCCATCAACACAAGAGTATGGGAAGGAAGAGTGAAAAATGACATTTCGAAGATAATACCTGAACAGCCATAATAAAATGTACAAATGGGCATTCTTCCCATACAGTCTTCTCCTTCCGTATATTTTAGCTCTATATGTCAAGACCATGCAATTATTGCAGTTAAAACTCCCCCCCAAAAAAACAAAGAAAGGCTAGTTAAACTAAAGCCTATTCAAGAATATGATATATTGCTCTCAAATGGAGAATTACACTGTGTAGCAATTTCATCTGAGTGAGTGAGAGTCAAAAAGGAAAAAATGAAATGAGAAAGAAATGAAGCTAAGTAATTGGAGGAAAAAGAGATGTCATGAATTGGAAATGAGTTTTGCTTTGAGGTGCTGACTCAGATGCATAGCTCTCTATAAAAGCTACAGTGAGAATAAAAATAGAGCAGAATTTTAGTTATGAATAATAATAAAAGAGACTTTTATTTGCTTCATATGCTTCAGAAATATCCAATTCTTCTGCTTATGAATAAGAAAATAGAAAAGCTGTGCTATCCTTCTTTCAGATTTTGAGCTTAGCCTCAAATCTAAAACCTGTAAATAGAAAATAAAACATATAATACCAAACGTGCTTATTTCATCTTTATTTACAACCATTCAGATGGACGACAAAAGAAAGGAAATTTAGGTGGGAAAAGGGAGATCACCTATATGCATTTTTTACAGAGATGATCAAATAGATAAGTACCAGACCTTGTCTTCAGGCTTCATTTAATAAATTTCTCAAAGAAGCAGTTCACATGGATGGTAAAGAAAATAATAAAATGTAATGTTAAGGGAAACAGTTGGGCATGAATACTTAATACCTTTTGCTATGGTCTTCACCATATCAGGATTTTCAATATTGCTTTTAAATCTGAACTACATTTTCAGACTTTTGGTTCTTTGTTTCTCTTTTTCAAATCTTCTCTTCTGAATGTTCATTATTATTCTTTCACTGTGTGATATTGTGTCTCCAGGTTTTTTTTCCATTATTGTTCAAAATTCTTTTCAGCATTTTTCATCTACCATGTTATATCTCTGCCACTTTTACACTCCTAATCACAGGATGGATTGCCCAAAGGATGTCAGGACAGATTCACCTGTACACAGTTGTATTAGCAGGGCTCACAGCTGATGGCACATGTAGATTGTTAATGCAGAAAGTTTTAAAAGCAGGGCATGGAGCTAGAGATGGAAGGAGTGAGGGGAAAAGAAGTAAGAAGTGGAGGGAGGGGTGGAGG